GGGGGGGCAGGTTGTGGGGGCTTGTGGCAAAGCCCCCCATGCAGCATGGGGCAGTGGGGGGCAGTAGAGATTGCCCCCCACCTGTCAGCACCCAGTGAGTGGGGCTGCCCCATGATCACTCACCTGCTCCTCTTCTTAGACTCCTCTTAGACTCCCAGCACACTCGGATGCTCAGCTTTTTCTACAACTTCCACAATTTCCTCTTCAGTCTGACGGTCTTCTGGGCAAAGCTCTGTCTGCAGCGAGGGCACGAGATGTTTGTATCCCAGAGGGCTTCTGGCCTAGACCCACCGGGATCTTTGAAGATTTCCAGACAAAACCACAAGTTGATTCTCCCTGGAAACTTGATTTTGTCACTGTGAGGCCATGGTGCACGCCAAGGGGAAAGGGTACGAGAGGGAACTTCCGCTTTCTGGGTTTAGAAATGTTTCAGTCTAAGGCAGGAAATGGGTGTTCCCCTTTCTGAAAAAATGACTCGTGGCAGATGTGACCTGCTCATCTGCTGCAGAATAAAAGTCACTGAGCTAGGGATGAAAAGCTGATATTCTGTCCTCAAAATACAGACATCAAGATTTCTGGAGATCTGTAATACCTAGAATATTTTTATAGTTGAATAACCCTTTTCTTGTGAAGGAGAATCAAAAAGCATGTGTAGAAGGGTCAACTCTTGGGTTACATTGAAATAAGGACATTAGCACTAGCTTCATTCAAAGTCACTATGATACACACCTATGTGGCTCAAGCTGCTTCCAGCATCATGAAGAGGTAGGCCAGGGGGAAGAGGGAGCACAGGGAAAAAAACAAAAGAATACTTCATTCCCCCAAGGTATTTCCAACCTGATAAAGAGGAAAGAGAAAGTCCAGGATGCTCAAGCACACTTGCCACCACATGGGGCTATCTCCTACTCCAAAAGGCACTTACTTTGCCCTCACCGTTTGAATTTCCTTTGGGGGTTGAGGATGGCAGTGTGAGCTTTAGAGGCTCTCACTCGGAGCCGTAGGTAATGCAGTTACCCACAAACAGTACCAGGGATCTGACCCAACAGGGGCTCTGTCAGGCAACAGACGGTCGGGGAAGAGCTGTCAGTCCTGAAACTAACTGTCAAAAAAGCAGAAACCATGAACCCGAGTCCATACTGGATCTCCTGAATAGCTTAATAGACAAGAGGGAGTATAAAAGTATGTAAAGGGGCTGCACATATCAGGTGTAGATAGGTTTTTATGCATCCACACAATGAAATGAGAGATGCTAGGTCAAACAGGCGGCTATGAGGGAAATAGCCAAGCAGCTGAATGAGTAGGCAGCTTGCAAGGCAGTAGGAGGGGAGAGGGTGAGTGGGGAAGCCGATGGGACTGTAAAATTGTTCTGTGAAGGGGATCAAGCCACTCTCTGAGTGATTTGCCATCTGTTCCAGGCACCCAGTGTTGCCCACGTGTCTTGGAGTGACCCAGAGGCAGCATGTGGTGTGCGCTGGATGACCCCACGCGCCGCATGCAGTTCCCACTGTAACTTCCATCCTGCAGCCATGGTGCAGCTGCACCCCCACAGTGGTGGCTCCTGTCCAGGCACTAAGGGCTGAAATCACTCACATGCCTGAGAGGAGCTTTCTTCATGGAGATCTCCCAAAGCTGCCTGGCTGAGAAGGGCTTGGTCTCCCTGGAACAGCAGTTGCCAAATCTAGCCCTCAGCGTGGTGGATCTGCAGAAAGATTCATAGATTCATAGATGTTAGGGTCAGAAGGGACCTCAATAGATCATCGAGTCCGACCCCTGCATAAGATGGACTCTTCCATGGGGTCTGTCTGCACAGCAGCTCTGGCTGTAGGCACCCAACCATCTGGCAGAAGGACTTGCTCAATGGTTTCTGTTCTGCCAGCTGTGACCCTGCCTGCACCAGTCTCTAAGGGCATTTGTACTTTAAAGCAGGTTAAGTGTCCTTTTGCACCGCTTTAATGACGTTACTGTTTGCACATTTGGTAGTGTGTTGCACATTAATTGTGCTGCTGTTTGTGCATGTTGGAAGCGTAAGGCTCCTTAAATGACTTTGGGACACAGAAAACTAAAACACCTCTGAGGTGTTTTAGTTTCCTACCGTACAGCTGTGGAGGGAAGCAGCGGGCCCCATACAGCTCAGGGACTGCTCGGCCCACTGGCAGATTGCTCTCCCCTCCCCGCTGCCAGACAGGCAGGTAAGGATTGGGCAGACCATTGTGTACCTGCCATGGGTTTTACTTCACCCTAAATTGATGCGGTGTTTTTAAACAAACTGCCACTTCAGTTTAGAGAGAATTAAACCCCCGTGTCGTGTAGAAATGCCCTAAGAGGAATTAAAACTTATTGCAGTTTTTCAACTGTGTTTGTGTACCACTGATACTATGTCATGTGACAGTCTGCATATTTCAGCTGCGGGAAACATGACCTTTTGTTACGGGTCCATACATTGCTCCCCGTGCAGGAATAGTGGAGCTCCAGGGCCTGCACAAAATTGGCTATTCAGTTTGGGGAAAGTGGCTTAAGCAGGAGCTTGCTTGTGAGCATATCCGAGCCGGCAGCTGTCACATAGCTGGGTGTGCAGTGACGGGGATGCCAGGGCCATGAGGGTAGTCATCTGTTACTGCCTTGCTTGAGGAGATTGGGGTGGTGCTGGGAAGCTGTTGCCACTTTAAGTGCAAGGTATCTGGACTTTGGAAGTCATGGTGCTTCTGGGGGTAAACAGGTGGTGTGGCTGCCTGGAGACAAGAGGAGCTGGGGTTTCCTTGTGTTGGGGGCTCTCCAGATCAGGGGGATTTTGTGGGAAGCAGCTTGGAGTCAGTGCTGGGCTTCTGACCTTTTGCTTGGGCATTATCTGGCTCCCCCTCCTTTTCCCTCTTGGCACTTGGCCCTGATACAGTTGATGCAATCCTGGCTGCTTGCTCAGGAGCTGCCACCTTGGCCTGAAGTGGTCCAAAGGTGCAGCCACAGGACTCTGCTTCCATCTTTTGTGTAACCCAACTGGAAGCACAAGACGGCAGATGAGCTGTGAGAATTCAGACCTGGGCTGAGGTGTGTGACCTTGCGGTGCCTGCACCTTGGCAAAGGAGACATAAAATCCCACTTTGCCAATTTATTGTGAATGGCAAGACAAAAGCATTGTGAAACCAAGCCCTCTTCTTTAATTGCCTTGAAACAGCAGGTTGTTCTAAAATGGATGCTGATTCCAACCCCGTGGAAAACCTCATCGAGTGTAGCAGGTGACAAGACACTGGAATATGGAAGCAACCACACAGTGTCCCGTCCTGTATGTCTGCGCTGATACTAACATTTGGTTTTTAGGTCACCCACAAACAACCTTTGTCAGATCTTCTCCCTTACCTCAGTTGCATCCTGCCCTATACCCACACCAAAGCTGTGCACACTGAGTGCTCCAGGTTCCCTTATGTCATGTCAGGCAGATCTCTAGGGAACGGTGGGCAGACTACTTCTCTATTGATGGGCAACAGGGAAAGGAAGTGGGAGAAAAAATGGCAGGGGTTAGAAATGGAAAAACTACTGCATTGTTGCAGATGGCCAGTGTGGGCCCAAGGTCAGCCACATGCAGAGAAGGTACAGGGAAATGAGGAGAGGAGTGGGGGCAGGGTCTCTTTCATACCCAGAATGTGGCCAAGCCTCGAGGTCAGACCTCAGATAGGGATTGAATTTAGGGGTTTATATGGTTGGTGGTGAATAGGGCGAGACTTGTCCTAATACAGATCTTGTTTAGCAGTGTAGTGAGTGTTACATGCAGCAAGTGCTCAGCATGTTTGTGCTCCACTGAAGCCATCTCAGGCTGTTGCAGGTTAATGTATATTCATTCAGAAGTCATAGCCAGGTAAAGGCAGTCAGGCAGGACTAAACCTAGGTGCCAGTTTAAAGTAGGCACCAGAATGGCAGGCCCCAGGGAAGCAGCCCTACCAGCAACAGCTGCCACCGCCAGTATGTGGGACACTATGTGGTGGCAGCTGCTGCCAGGGTCATTTATTCTCCCCACACTGGTTTTCCAGCACGTGATAAAGCCCCCCCACACTTCCTTTCCACTGGCCATGCTCTTAACTTTGCTCAGGGCACCAGATTTCCTAGTTAAACTTGTGGGTACAGCCTCCAAGAAACATCCACAATGCACTTAGATCAGGTATGGAAACGCTACCTTGGAGGAGAGGGGATACCTGGTTTCTGCCCCTTACTACCAGGGTCCTTGTTTATTTTGATTTTAATCCATGACAGAGTAATGGAAAATGCACAAGTTGTCCTGGAATCGTGAACTGGAACCCACGGCTCTTCCTTTCTAGCCGTGTCTGTGCCAAGGGGCTACAAAATCATGTACCTTCTTGCTGGCTTTCCTTCTGGCCAATGAATCTTGCACACTTATCTTGCCAGTGCCCAGCTTCAACATGAAGGGTGAAAAGGGCTCCCCACAAAATAGTCTGTATCTGGAGGGTTAGATAACTCCATGAGATGTCAGAAATTTGGGTTTCAAATCCCATCTTAAGCTTGAGGAGCTAAAAATAAGAAACATTTTGATTGAGGGCTATAACCTCTGATCTAATGTACAAAGATATCTGCTACCAGAAGAAAGAAAAAAAGCTAGAGGGGGAGGGGCTCAGTGAGAAGAACACTCCTTGGAGGGTAGGAGCCATTGGATCTGGCTCTTCCCTCTGACGGTGCAGAAACTGTCCCACAGTTGTTAATCCATGTTATTAAATGAATATTAAATGCAAGGGGCGGAACTACCCTTTGGAGCATGGACCCTCCTCTTTCTCCCTTTCCTTCTCTTGACTCCACATCGCTGTTCTTCCTAGCTATCGAGTGGGTAGTTTCAAAAGGAGGGCTTTACAGTGCACTGGGCAATGCCCTGGTCATTAGGCCACTTGGTAGTGCAAAAGGAGATGAAGATGCATACCGCCTTTTTGTTGGGGGAGACCTAGAACCTGGGTCTTTTGCTCCCTTCATAAGACAATGCAATGTGCTGTTGACAGGCTTGTCCATTTTCAAAAGGATTGGGTCAAAACTAATACTATCTGGCTCAGGCAGAAAAACCCCCAAAGCTTCTGCCTGAGTGACTATACCATGAACCTTCACAGATCCAACAGCTAGCTAGGCAAGCAAAGCAAGAGGAAAGCCATTCATACATTTAACTGGGCCAAATCACACAGAGCACGTGACAGGTCATCACTCTGGGCCGCCCTTAATGGGGCCCACACACCTGTCTCTGGGCAACCACCCGCCTCCTCGCCTGCCATGCCTTGATCTTGATTAATTAATTAGTATTAATTGGTGGGAGGCTGTCCTTATACTGCCCCATCACTAGGGGGTGCTGTCTGTGGCTCCATTTCCTCCCCTACATCGCAGTCCACCCCTCACCGATGTAATCACCATTGTCTCAGTTCTCTCACTATTCAGCCCCTTACTATTCTCCCTGGGCCTTCCATCCTTTGCTGCCCCCTCCTGGGGCCTTCCAGTGCCCAACTTGGGCCTCCCAGGAATGCGGCCCCCTATCAGGGGCTCCCAGTGCCCAGACTTGGGCTTCTCAATAATACTGCCCCCTATCCAGCTCACAGTGCCCAACTTGGGCCTCCCAACAATGCAGCCCTGTATCAGGGGCTCCCAGTGTCCAAACTTGGGCTCCTCAGTCATGCAACCCCCTCCTGGGGCTTGCCATGCCCCACTTGGGCTTATCCATAATGCCGCCCCCTTCTCTGGGGCTCGCCAGGCCCAACTCGGGCTTCTTAATAATGCAGCCCCCTTCCTGGGGTTTGCCGTGCCCAGCTTGGGCTTCTCAATCACGCGACCCTCCTCCTGGGGCTCGCCATGCCCCACTTGGGCTTCTCAAACACCCCTCTCTGGGTCTGGGGTCTATGCACCCCATGTGCTGCACCCACTGGCGCCAGGGTCCTCACACTCCGCTGTGAGTCCCCTATGAGGCCCCCTCCAACCCCTAACAGCCTCTCTCAAACCACCAGTTTTAACAAACAGCAAACACAAACTCCAGCCTCCTGGCTACAACTTAAATATAAGCCACCAGGCTTCAACAACATTGCTCCAGCATATTGGAGCTGCTCCCCTTTTCTGCTAACAGTACCTCCCATCAGGCTTCTTCTCACATCATTGCTCCCAGAACTCTGCTCTTAGCTCCTTGGGTTTATAAAGGGAGCCAGGCCCGGCCCCTTCCGGTCAGCTGGCCTTCATTGGTTGCCCTGGCAACCCCCACCTGGGCTCCTTAGTCACCGCTAGGGCTCCTTCCTTAGCAGTTTCTCCCCTCTTCAGGCACAGGGCACCTCAGTGCTCTGTGACAGAGCACAAGGCCTAAAAAGAAACACTGTAAGGAAGAACCATGCATCAAGTAATCCCAATACTTGACATTGAAGCTTCATCTTAAAATAATTAGCAGTAGCAATTGCTGTAACCAAATGTATTGAGTGTTATTTTGTTCTAACAGATATATTTTTGATAAATGCTTGGGTAAGTTGTAAAACCAAAGCAGCCTTGTCAAACCATAAGCTAAAGTGAGGAGGAAACAGACCCATCTTAACAGCATGCAGTGATAGAAAGGGAAAGGAGAGGAGTACTCCATGCTTTTCCAAGGATTATGAATCTCAACTAGTTGACACCTTCCAGGTCCAAAAGAAATCTTGTTAAATCCGGTTCTGAACATTTCAGTGAAAGAAAGAAGTTTAAATTAAGCCAGTCTGAGACCAATCGTTAGACTATCGGGACCAGCCATCTGAAAATGTTGGGCACAGACTGGAGGGAAATTAACTTCTACTCTTCAATACTTTTAAATCTGAACTTGTCCAAGGCTCAGCAAATGAGCTCAAGTCCTCAGAGGACCAGAGAAGTCTGGCTAGCGGACCTGTTTTCTTCCCTGAATCTGAGGCTATGCAAGCATTCTCTTTATTGAATTAAATACTTCTTTCCTATTGTGCATCCTAATAAAGCTTTCAAGCTGTGACTGGAATCGGTCCCACTCAGTCTCACTGTGAACCAGAGTTAAAACTGAGTATAACACCTTGACAAGGCTCTAACCACTAGGCTGTTTGGGCTAAAAGATGGACTGGCCTTCCTCACCCTCCACTTCACTTCTCTCACATACACATCTACTTGGGCAAGTTTACTGCCCTGAACGTAGAACAAGGATCCAGATCCACCATGTGTCAAAAAGGATATTGGGAAGTCACATAAGTGCGTAAAAGTGAAACAGGAATCACCCCATAGTGTCACGTGCACTCAGTCAACCCCAGACTTAGTCAAAGAGGTCTGAACAGTGAAAGAAGATGTGCAGGACAGCTTCAGAAACAGCTGTTCTGTTACAGGTTGTGGCAGAGCACTGTGTGTGCCTGCCACTTTAAGTGCCTGGAGCTGGCAGCCGCCAGGTGCTTGATGAGGGCAGCCATTTTAGAGGCATGGGCTGCCTATATAAACAGTGCAGTTTAGTTGCCTGGAGGCCAGGCAGTAATGTTGCTTGGCTGGAGGGCTGCTGAGAACAACCTGGAGGTAAGGGAGAGCTGCAAGGGGATGGTAAGGAGGCTCCTTGGTCCTGGGCATGACCTGAAACTGCACCCTGCCAGGAGTGGGTGGTCTGGTGGGGCTCTCAGTGGTGTGGGAGCCCCCAGGAAATGCCAGGTCAGTGATCACCCTGGTGAAAGGTGGGTTGGGGTGCCTTAACCCCTAGCTCCCACCACTGGGTGGGTAACCCTATGCTTGGAGGGGCCCAGAGGGCAGACCCTGAGAGAGTGAATGAGTACAGGGTGTGGTGCTGCGGTTGCCCCTGGGAGAAAGGGGGTAGTGGCATGGTGAGCCTGGAAGGGAAGAGTGAGGGGCTAGAGACCCACCCTGAAGGAGAGTACCTTGACTGGCCCAAGCTGGGGGCCAGGACCATGGGGGTCAAAAGGGCCAGGGGCCCACTGTGAGGGATGCCCAAGAGCTGGGGCCCTGGGGTCCTGACTGGCCTGGAGGTGGGCCAGGGCAAGGGGCTGAAGGTCCTGGGGGGACCACACCTGAGAGGGGGAAAAGGGCTTTGGGGGGGCTAGGTAGCCTGGATGATGGCAGAGAGGCCGCCTGATAGGAGAGGATCATAGAGGGGTCCTGTATGGATGATTCTGGGGCCCAGTGTGGGGCCGGTGATTATGGGAGCAGCAAGATGCCATCTGCAAGGCTTGGGCTGCAGTATTGGGGAGGATAGGAGCTGCAGAGCGCCTCCTGGCATCGGGGCACTAAAATGGGCAGCCTCCCGTTTAATTGACATCTATAATTGAATCAATTAACACCAAGGTGTGGCAGGCAAGATAGTGGGCAGTTGCCCAAGGACAGGTGGGCGGGCCACGGAGATCGGCCCCAAGGAGGCCCCCCCTGTCACACAGGTTTAAACCAGTTTCTGATCACTTGAACCAGTTTGTATGTAATGTCTGTCCCTAGCCCTAGAGGATAGCTGCAGTGACTTTACTAACAAGTGGATATGTTCATTGTTCTCCAGACAATCAGGGCAAAATGAAAGAGAGCGAAGGGCATACAGAATTGCTTTCTGCTTGTGTCGATCAGGAAGGAATAAAACGGCTGATAGGAAAAGCACAGCCATAAAGCACCTGCTTGGCTGACAGGCAGGAGAAGGAGCCTTGCCCCTGTGCTGGGGGAGCAAAATGTGACTCAGATGTGAAGAGATTGACTCCTCTTCCCGAAGTGACTGGGCCTGGGCATTCTCCACCCCCACATCTTCTCCAGGTTGTTAGTCTTCATGTCTTTGCTCCACCGAGGCAGCAGACACAGAACTCAACCATCATAGACGTTTTCCATATTAATAGAAGTTAATGTTGAATGGGAAGAGCTTTCCTGGGAGAAGGGTAGGAATTGCCAAGTCCAGTTACAACAAGGATTCCCGACCTTCTGCGTGGTGTAGTAGAGCACCCTGCAAAGGGGAACCTGTCCCAGGGACACATTCCCCTTGATGGAAGGTCACCCAGACCACCCATCTGTTCACAGGCCCCCACACAGAACAAATTGCTAGGGGGTGCTGCGATATGGGCTGGTGCACTTTTATTAGCGTGGTGTACGTGTAACAAAGACAGACACGTGCAGTCTGTTTTGTGTGTTGCAGTCACCAGTCTCCTTTCCAGAGCAGTCCTAACACAGCCCTCTGCTCCTCTCTGGTAGGTCTGAAGGACCAGGGCTCAAAGCACATCTTCCAAGAAAGACCAAGGAAGTAAAAGCTGAGCTGTTCACAGGCCCAAGTGATTGCTGCTGCTTCTTTTTCCACCTGAGCATAGCTTCACTTGGTGTCTGCAAGACATCTTGATACAAATACGTTCAGCCTCTGGTGTCCTTCTGGTTGTGTTTGAAGGGGTACTGCTCCTAAACCATATGGTGATTGTATCTGCTGTGACCACTGTAGGAGAGCTTACTAAATACAGTACTTACACAGGTGGTGAGGACGGTAGTTGTTTGTGTTGAATACCCCTTGTTGTACATTTGCCAGACCAACCTACAGCCCAGGGATGATCAGGCACCCTAGATGGTGGCACCTTCTTGCAGGGGGTGCACTGCCATGTGCATGGGGTGCGCGTGCACCCCCTATGCATCACCCCTGAGCAGGGGAGAGGTCTTGCTTCATGATATGCTCCATGCAGCATTAAAAGAGGCCCCAAGGAGATTGTGGAGGAGCCTGGTCTGAGTTCAGTCTGGAGAAGGATTGACTTCCCTAGCATTGAGGATGCCCCAGCAGAGAGAGAAACTGTGCATGGCTATCAAGCAGAGCCTGAGTGAGCTGCACTTAAAACACTGCACAAGTTAGTGCAGTCATTGTGGTTGTGGTGCAGTGAAAGCCCTTGTGCTGTCTGGGACGGCTGGGGCTGTGGCAAGGCAAAGATTCTCATCCTGAAGGGTCATTGTTGGACTGTTTGGAGTTGGGGTTCAAAGTTATCCTGTAATGCACCTGCTTACTCATATTGCTTTTAACTATAGTTCATATTATACAGGTGCAGGGAAGGAGGGCCGGCTACAAAGGAAGTGCTCCTGTCATACCAATTCCTTCAGGATGACATGCACTTCTGGGTTCACCCCAAGGCTTGGATTATGCCTCGGGTTATCACGAGAGGTAACCCATATCATCTCTTCTCACTAACGTGTATACAATCCAGCCTTTCTTTACAACAACAATCCATAGAAAAAACATCTGGGGTTGCAAACTGACAAATGACAGCAAGGGAAGAGGAGAGCGCCCATTGGATCTTCAAGAGAAATTTAAAGTAGCCTATTTACAGAAGGATCACAGCCGAAACGGCAGCTACCAGGGCCAGTGATGCTGACTGGGTTTGCAATCCCACTGCATGAAGCTCACTTCCCAAGAGGAGCTCCCACATGTCCTGGGGTGTCCCTTCACTTGTTTGGGACCAATGAGGAGGAGATGTACCACTGCTCAGGACAGGTCAGGATGTGTTGTTCCTTAGGGCAGACTGGCAGTTTACTTGCCATCATACCATTTGCCTATCCTGCCCTCCCCCTTTCAGTTCCCAGCACCAAGATGCCCAGAAGGAACGCCTGTACAACCAAACACTGAAACCAGGGATGAACATTTGAGGACTCATGTCCTGGCAGTGTTATTCAAATTGCCAATTACGCAAATCATGAACAAGACTGTATAAGGGGAAATAAGGCAAAGTTTGAGTAGACGCTTAATACACACACCACATTCATTCCCCGATTTCTGTTTTGTGCTGGTATATGCTACCAGTCTTATTGGTGTTCGGGTCAACTTAGTGGCCAGCTAAATTGATCACGAGTAGAAGCCAGGCTCCTGCTGGTCCCTCTCATCAAATGAACTGATGCTTCAGGATGATATGCAGAACAAGACCCAACATTGATATGTCTAGCATCATCTTTTAAAGCCTTGTAAATTCACCCAGTCCTCTGGGCTTTTGCTGGGTTATCACTGTGTTCTTGAAGGTCAATTGCCATTGTTCTCTCGCTATTCTGGGCTGGATTCTTCTTGTTTCGTCTTTTATCTGTCTGTATTTTTCAGCCAGTCACCAGTTGATGCTTTCCTTTTCCACAAAAACACTCTCGCCCATACAGCATACAAAAGAGTAAAAGGTCGAGCACTTATATCAAGCTACAGAACAATACAAAATGGAGTTTCTTAAAGGAAGTGCAAAACTTAAGAAAATACATAAGATTAAAAGCAATAGGCAAAAAGTCTTGGCCCTCACCCCTGTCACTGCTTGGGCTGTACAACAGGACTGGAGCAGAGGGGTTCTCCCTCTCAGTAAGATCAGTCCTGTCATCCTAAGGTTTACTTGGAAATCTCCCTTGTCCCATGTGGCCTGCTGTGCCTTGCTGGAAGGAAGTGATTTGGGAAGTGTCCTACTTCTGCCCAAAGCTGAGGCGGGTGGAGGGGAGGAATCAGATGACAAGCTCTCATTGCCCAGGAGGACTTCTGGTGTCTGCTGGCTCCCTGGTTGTCTTATTTTGAATGTAGTTTCTCCAGCTCTACACTGGAACCCCAGTCGCTTTGGGCCTGTGGTGCTGGGTCCTCCTGATTCTTTGTCCATAAACCACCCCAGAGCTTCTGCCCCTCCAATTTGGCCAAGAGGGGCTGACTCTCAGACAGGGCCAGGGGCTCAGCTGCAAGCAAGGTATTCTGAAACCAAGGAGGGGCTGCAGCCCGAAACCAAGAATAAGAAGGGAGGCCGACTGAAGCCTGGGAGAGGGTAAAGCCCAGACCAGAGAGAGGCAGGGCAGGAGGTTCCAGAGCAATACAGCAAACAGGATCAGCGAGAGAAGCCCTGCTCAGGCTAGACAGACCGGCAGCCTAAGCATGAACTGAGTGTAATAAAGCACCAGTGGCTGAACTCCAGCCCCGCCAAGCACCTCCTGAAATAGAGAATTAATCAAACATCAGTTGTGGCAGGCAGGAGAGCAGGGCCAAAGTGGAGAGCTGGGGTAGGGGGATGTCAGAGTGGGGGCCACAGGAACGTGTCCCTGATCTCTTTTAGATGGGTGTGAACAGGTCACTCACTCAGCTGCCTTATCAAGGCCACTCAGTTCTAGGGATAATAATTAAAACTACAAGTATGGGGATAATACTCAACTATCAGAACGGTGTCCCTGTTGGGACAGTCTTTCTCCAGTATTCAGGCAGAGAGCAGGAGGCTGGAGTGGTTGAACCCATCATTCCCTTGGACCATCCCCTGCCCAGCCCCCACTTCAGTGGCACAGTTTGAGCTCAGCTCCATCATCCCTCTGCCAGAACCAGGGCCGGTTTCTGTCCCCAGAGAATGAGAGCAGTGGGAAGGGGAAGATTGAGGTCTCGGTGTCAGCACTGAGAAATGATATCCTCCCCACTGCCCAGTCCAGACACACACGGATCCTGCTGGGCACCGGGCACCGAGACAAGGTGTTGAGATGAGGAGCAGCAAGAGCCTGGAACTGATCAAGCCAGCACTGCACAGCCCAGATCCCCTCCCTGGGCTAAAGTAGATCCATCCCTTCCTCCTCTCAGACTCTCTGGCAACCCCCATGGCCCAGAATGCCCCTTCCGGCATCTCCACCTCCCAGCAGTGTCTCCCCATGGTGACTCCTGCACGGCCCACCCAGCACACAGCTCTGCATATCAGATCTCTCAGGATTGTTGGACAAATGCTGCTATGTATCTGCACTTCTCACACTTCTCCAATCCACAGAAAGGACAAGGCAGGGATGAACCGTGTCTGGATCCAGAGTCACTGTCACTGGGGAGAGAATCACAGCATCGGGGCAGAGCTCAGTGGGGGCCACTCCTCACCCTCTGCAGCAGCCCTGTGTTGCTTGGTACTGTCCTGGGTCCCAGGAGCTGCCTTGGCCCTGGGCTCATGACGGTGAGAAGAAACAGCCCTGCAGCTCCTCAACCTGGGACTGGGGAGATCCCTTACCCCATGGGAAAGTGGAGGACATGGCAGCAAATCCACAAGCCAAGGCAAGAAACTCCTAGCCCAATCCCCCAGGTCACAGCAGAGCAGGGTTTGATAATGGGCTGTGAGAGTGTTTCTCATGGAAGGGGAGAGGAGCCCTGCAGTGGGATTTTTCTGTGAAGACAATCAGATCTGCATTAGCACTTACCCTTGCAGTATGAGCCCTTCTCTGGATAAGAGCGCAGAGTGTCTGGAAGAACAAAATGGCCAGGTTACTGGGTCAGCACCATAACCATTAGGCTCCTGGGCTAAAATGTGCAGATTGGGAGACTTCCTTCTGGGATTTAAGTATTGGATAAATGCTTATCTACATTTATATGGAGCCACAGAGCTGACTGGCCTGTGCACAGTCTCCTGGGTATGCACAGTAGCTGTGGGGAGGGTGTAATGGGATTGCAAACTGTGCATAAATGCCCAAACTGGCACTTGTGTGTATAGTATGTGCCCTTTGGGGGTGTGAAGTGACACAGGAGTCTCACTGCCCAGAGCTTGTCTTCTCCCCACACACAGGGGCACATCCCTTCCATCTCCAACGTCCCTCTTTAGCACCTTGAAACAGGCTAAACCTCTCCCTTAGGCTTAGTTCAGACCAGCTCTTGAGTCTCGTTTGCAGCATAGGGGAAATCCCCACGTGGCAGCTGGAACTGCCCCTTCTCACACCTGAGAAAAGCAATTCAGCATCATTCTCTTTAGGGCTGTGCGAAGCTTCAGTCCCTGATTCGATCCTGCAGAGATTCGGCCCCATTTGGTGGCTGAATCTCCAGACCTGAACTGAATCAGACGACCCTTTAATCTTTCTGAATCTACTTGGAGAGATTCAGAGAGATTCAGTCATAGACACAACTTTAAACATTTTTTCTACATAGCTCTTGGTAGCAGGTGGCTCATGAATGCTGCAGTGCTGGGGCGCATGCAGTGTCCCACAGAAGCATGGGGCGGCTCCCCAGCACACTTGGCAGCAGACGTGGAAGTGGACTAGAAGCATTTCCGAGTCTGCCGGGCAGCGGGCTGAAGGACCCCCCTCTCCCCAACCCGTGTCTCCCTGGCTTAGCTACTGGTGCCTCCTGGGTCTGGGGGGCACCTGGGGTCCCCCTACAGCCGATTGCCAAGCTGGAGAGGGTACCGGGGGGCCCTCAGCACGCTCCCCAGCAGACCTGGAAGTGGACCAGAAGTACTTCTAGTCAACTTCTGGGTTCACTGCTGAGCACACAGGGAGCCCCCCCCATACTCCTATGGGATACTCCATCTGGCCCAGCATTGCAGCAATCATGAGCCATGCCTGGTACCATTGACATGTGGAAAAAACCTTTAAAGCTGTGTTTATGTCCAAATCGCTAATTCTCCGAATCAGCATCAAATCTTCAGATTCAGCCGAATTGAACCAGGGACAGTGATCTGAATCAACAAATCAAATCACTGTCCCTGATTTGGGCCAAATCCAAATCAAACAGGGCCCACTTCACACACCCCTAACTCTCTTTTCCTTCAATAACTCAGCTTCATAGCATCAGCCTTTACTAGCTGGACAGTCCTGGGGACTGATTCCCTCTCTGTCCATCAGCCTCAGGGCAGGGGCAGCACAGACAGTAACAGTGCCAGCTCCCTCCATTGCAGGGATCTGGTGCTGTGGTGCCTCAGCAGGATGTGGCCACATCACAGTGTCCCGGCCCCAGCCCACCCTCAAGAGTGAGAAGGAGCCACTTACCTGCTCAACGTGCTTCTGATATCCTCGAGGGGAGAGAGACAGAGGGAAGAGAGAGCGCAGTGCCACATGCTACAACCGGGGTCTCTCCTGTTCTAGAGGCAGGTGCACACTGTGCCAGAGTGCAACACGCCAGTACCTAGGTAAATATGTCCCCATTACAGCCCCTTCCCCAAGGCTCATTGTTCAGGTCTTCCCCCATTCCCTATGCAGAGGTAGGAGGTGTTTTAATGTGCCTCACCCGCAGGAGGTCATTTGGCAGCTGCTGGCACTTGCTCTCCATCTCCCTGATCAGACTGTCCAGATGGGAGACATCCTCAGAGAGTTTGGCAACAGTTTCCTCCTGACTCCTCTCAGTCGTTCTCCCCAGCTCTGCCATCTGGCCCAAGAGGAGTTGGTTTTGTTCCTCAATGAACTGGTGCAGTTGCTTAAATTCAGACACAACCTTCTGCCTCTCAGCCTTTGTCTTTGCCTGCAGTGAGTAGCAGGAAAGCAGGGAGTGGGGGTCAGCACCTTTGGGGAGAGCCAGATGTCACTCTGTAATGTCTTGTGAGACTCAGAAGAGTTAATCTCCTGGAGCTCCCATGGCTTCAAAGAGATACTCAGGTCTTGCAGCATCTCTGCTCCTCGACCTTTCTGGCTGCAGACTCAAGCATCATGCCTGGTTCCTGTGCACTTGGTTCAACTTAGGAAAGTTTTTTCTCAGGCTCTGAAGGCTCAAATGTTATACGGGAGAGAAGTTAATTGCTCTCCCCATGTGCAGTAACACACACTCACTGACATTTCTACCAAGTGTACAGAGGAAGAGAAATCCCAACCCTCCCCTCCCAATGTCATCCTTATAACCATTAACCAGGAGCACTGACCTGATATTCCTGGTGTTTCTGACTCTCACTCACTTTCAGGTCTTTAACCTTTTTTTTTCTTTCCTTAGACTCTCCAGCTCAACACGAATTTGCTCCTGAAGGAAGGAAAATGTCTTGGGTGAGTTTTCCTTTGGGGATGGAGAGAGTAGTATGTTTTCCCTATACAACCTAGGTGCCTTCCCTGCTGTAATTTCAATGACTGTCACCTTGTTATTGGCCTGCTCCCTTGTCCCAGTAACCCTGCTGAATGAAGTGAGTGTCAGACACCAGCACCAGCGTGCCAGTTACCAGACACTGCTCCATCTTCCAGATCCCCAGCTTGTGCTGGCTCTGGAGTCCAGAGAGAGTAAATAACAAAGGGCAGCATCAACTCTTGTAGGTTTAGGGTCCCACATGCAACAGAAACTACAGCAAGTAGTGTCCTACAGAGTTGAGACCCTTCCCATTGACAAGTGTAAGC